CGCCGTTATGGTTAGAGCACTGGTCCGCGCGCAGCTCCAAGGCCAAAGAGAAAGGAGCAGTCACTAAGTTCCCGGAGCTCTGAAGTCGGCGGTTTCCCTCCCGCGGCGCCATTCTGCGCCTTCAGCTCCTCGAGGATTGCCGCGAGGATAACCCGCTCGTCGGGAGGGATCCTGGTCTCGCTCTCCACCTTGGCCGAAGACTTCTGTTCTCTGTGAGCATGGTACTTCAGGTAGGGCCTCCAAAAGGCGGTGTAGAGTACAAGCATGGTGAGTGCAAACGAGACGAGGTGGTCCAGAAAGGCTGAGATGGTGAACTCCTGCCCTCTGACAAAGACCGACCCAGAGGTCGAACTTCCGCCTTTGACGAGGTTCATGGCTGCCAAGGGGGCAGGGGTGAACTTAGAGTGGCAACGGGGCAGCCGCGGCTGCGGGAAGGGCGATCGTGTCCATCTTTCATGCGGCCGGCGCCTGGCTTGATGAAGCTGTCTGTGAACGACGCGATCAGCTCTTCGAAAGCAATGCCGACGGCAACGCCAATGGCAAGCTCGATGATGTTGCTTTGGCAAATAAAGTCAACCCAGCCGCCCCAGAACCGGCCGCAGCACGATCGCGTGCCGCTAAGACACTTTGAGCAGCAGCCCGCGTCCTCGGCCGCTTCGTCAGAACCACATCCCGAGCACGGCATATACACACATCGCGAACCGGACGGAGGGCCCAAAATTCCGCGTTCATTATCTCTTTTCGCCACCGACACCGCAACCGCACCGCGCCCGCCTTCGAACATAGATCTAGAAACTTGAGCACTTGAGCACTGGATAGGGTCGATTCCGCATGGTACGGGAGGACCCCTCGATCGTCTCGCCCTCCCTCACTGGTGTGTTCATTGGGGGGGGTCATAACAAACACGGTACAGGATCGAGGTGCACGCTGCCAGAGCAGTGTCGTCCCCCCTCTCCCCGACGGCGATGGCGGTGTGACCGATCGAGCTACAAGAGGAGCTTGTTCAGCAGGATCCGGGATAGTTAGTCCGATGCACTACCTCACTGGGCCTGAGACCATCAACGACAGCATCCCGTCACCCCTCCGGATTTGTGTGGGGTCGAACCACTCCGGGATGGGCAAGCCCATTGTTGTAACGTCAGCTCGCAGACGACCGAGCACCGGGATAGGATCGGTTCGACATGGACCCCTACATACTTGTCCTTCCTTTCCGGAACCCGAACGAACGAAGGTGGGTGGGTGGACTGCTGACTGGCTGGGTTTGTTTGTTTGCGTGCGATGAGGAGAGGGACTCCGAATGGACGGAAGGTATCCTCGGGCGGGGTTAGTGCCTGCGCAAGAGAACTGCGACGTATCGGTCTCATACTAGCACCCCTCGCGAGCCGATGTATGCATTGTTTTTTGGTGTTTTGCATCTATGCATCTATCTCTATCTATCTTCTGGCTGGCCCAGCGAGGCTGTTTGTTGCGGGGCACGGCGGCGGGGCGCTCCTCCAAACTCCGTAGAGCAGAAAGTGGCCGCGTGTTTGGCGAGGGCGCGGTGCGGCTTGCATCGTGGCGTGCCGAGGTATTTCTCTTGGCCTTGCGCGAGGTGAGCGTCTTGGGGGCACCTCGCCCTTTCGCGAAGATGTTATATATTAATGTCCGCAAGTGCGCATTCAAGTCGTCGGCCACCCGCCCGTCCCCGTTGACCACCCGACGCCTACAAGCCGGCGACCAGCGCGACGAATGATGCCGGCCCGCCCGAGGACCACACGCTCGCGCCGGACCGCCGGCGACCAGGCGCGTGGTGCCGCGCCAAACCTCGGCTCTTGTCTGCGAGCGCGCTGCCCTGGGGGGGTTCCCGGCCCGTTCGCACACCGCGCGCGCCACGCCGGCGCTCACGTGTGCACTGATATAGTTCCTCACCATCCACCAAGAGCTGACCACGACAGCGGTCGCCCTCATCCAGGCACCCGCCCTCGGCCGCGGCGGCGCCCTGACGTACCCGAGGCGGCCGCGGCCCAAGGGATGGTGCGCCGGCGTCGAGCTCTCCGCGCCCCGCACGGCCGTCGGTATCAATGAGTACTTGCACGCGTTGTCGCACCGCGAGCACGGCGCCGTCAGGCGCGCCTAGCAAGAGCAGCCGCACATTTTCGCCGCCGCCCGACGCCCGAGCCGCGCCGCAGGGCAGGCGGGCGCATCGGCGCCTCCCGCTGGGAGCTCGAGCCCGACGCCGCGGACCCGCCGCTCTCCGTCCTTGTCGTCAAGATGCACCAGCAGTTTGAGAGCCCCGCCTCCGTTGTCGCCACGGTGCGCCGCATCTGGAAGCCAACTTTTGACGCGATGGCGACGCCCTTCTCGGCGGTGTGCGGCGCGTACGCGACGCTCGAGGACGACGTCCTCGCGCGTGCTGTCATTCCTCCGGGCGCCATCGTCTACGCCAACCCCGCGTACGCGCCTCAGGATATGGCCAACGGCGCGGCGGGTCTCGAGGTGCACCTCCGCAAGCTGGTCGAGGTGGACGTGCGCGCGCGGGGCTGCACTCTGGTCGCGCTGCTCCCTATCCTGTCGCACACGCGGTGGTACGAGAGCCTCGTTGGCGAGGGTGCGCACGAGGTCCACTACATACGCGGCGGCCTCGTCTTCCCCAACCCGTTCACTGACGTCAACCAGCGCAAGAAGGGGTACCTCTGGGAGTGCCGCTCCTACGCCCTCTGCGTGTGGCGCCCAGGAGCGCCGCCGCCGCAGCCCAGGCAGGCGTGGCTCACTCTCGATGCTGTGGGTGAGGAGTGCGTGCAGCTCCGCATTTGCCGCGAGTGCGGCCGTGTGCGTGTCCTCCCGCGCTGGGCGGACGGGTCGAGCGCGGCGCTCAGCCCACAGAGCTTTGTGTGTGGTGCCTCGCCGGACCTCAAATTCAATTCGTGCGCGGTGCCCGAGTTTGTGCTCGAGGGGCGGCGCTGATTTTTGTAGTTAAGCATGTGTGACTCTGTACTAGTTTAGAGGCCCTCGGGAAGCACATCCGCTTCATCGTCCGACTCGGCGGCCGTGCGGCAGTCCGGGCAGAACCAGTCGTCCGTACCGGACGGGACCACGCCGCCAACACAGGAGGTGTGGAACCAGCGAGCGCACGGTCCGTCGCACCCTATCCACTCCGTCTCCTGCGCCGCCTGTGTCGCCTGCCGGCGCCTCTTCCCGCCACGCCCCATCGCTCTCGCCGCCGCCGCACA